CTTGATATATACAAGAGAAATCATGCATTACAAGTACTTATCAATGCTTAATCATCTTTGTGCAAGATTTTAGAAAAAATTTAATGGCAAGGGCCCTAATGAGTTTATTATGATGGAGTGTTGAGGTAAAGAAGGTGATGTTGTCTCCTTTCCTACCCTATATAAAGGGGCATTAGCATAGGCTCGAAATTCACACCAAATTAAACAAAGTCTTAGCTAGATAGTGAGAAAAACGAGAGAAAACGAGAGAAATCTTGTCGAAGATAGGTTGAGATCAACTTTTGATTTTTCAAGGGTATTGAAGAAGGTAAAATGTTAATCATATTTATATGCTTTGGTGATGAGATTAAGTGTTTATTGATGTATATTAAAGTCTTATAAGTTCAGTTTATAATCACTTATAAGCATGCAAAAAGTTAAACTAGTTCCTAGCTAGTATAAATGGGATATGTGCTCTGTTTTAATTCATTTTTGAGTATGATATGCATAAACTGGGAAAGTATGATTTAAATGAGTATTTCTTATGTAAATGAGGAGTACATAGGAACAAGAATCATATTATTTGATTAAGTATAACTTGAGTTTCATGTTTTTGAAGTAAATCGAATTTTTATGTAAAATTTCAGCTGCGTAATTTGAACTCGACTAAGTCCATATATGTACTTGATAAAAGTGTAAAATTTTAATGACATGTCTACATATATGTTGAGAGTGTGCATGTCAAATTTCAGAATTTTATGTTGAGAAATGAGTAAGTTAAAAAAGTTACACTGCATGCATGTCAAGCTGAATTTAAATGTGATAGTACTCTGTATACAAGCAAGCTTTTAAGATGAAACTTTTATGAATAATTTTTGTATAACTTTTGGTCAAAATGGCCAAGTTTCAGCTTGATATGATAAGCATGTGAATTTATAAAATTCTTTGAAGTTAGTTGTAAAATTGGCATAATTATATATTAATTTTAATATTTGAATGGATTGAGCTATTGAAGTGCTTTTGAGCCAATATTGATCAAAGAGTATATGAATATCTACTATGTAACTATCAAGTTTCATAATTTTTAGAGTTATATGAAATTTTTGAGAAAAGATACTTAGATATATTTGCTTGTATATGTTGGTAGTTGTGGAGAGTCGAGCCTCCAACAGCTACATCAATTATTTAACACTTGCAAAGTCCTTTCTACATATCCGGTGGGGACCCATACAGGGTGTTACACTGAGCATATTCTATTATTCTGTATGAGGTATGTGAGAAAATTATTTACCCGAACAGTTGAGTTATCTCGTTTGTGGTCCAGTAAGTTATTACCCGAACGGTTGAATTATCCCGTTTGTGGTCCAGTAAGTTATTTACCAGAATGGTTGAGTTATTCCATTTGTGGTCCAGTTAAGATGAGTTTAATCACCCAGTCTTGTGTGGAATTTTTCCATCCTGGGTTTTGTGGGAGGCGACCCCCAGAGTATGATCACATGATAATCCGGAAATTTACGGATGTTGCAACAGTACAATAAAGTAAAGTTTTATTTATGCATATGCAGATTTCATGATATATGATTTCATGTGCTCATTTCCCCACTATTATTTTTTTTAAGGTGATGGAGTTCAGCGTGAAGTGGTGTGGCGATGTTTGAATAAAGCTGGATATTTATTACGTTTGTGTTTAGGTTGGTTTGTATTAAACTATATATGACTATATTTTAATTACGCTTCCGTACTGATAAACCAGAACCATTAAGTATGTATGTATAATTATTCTATGTATAATTATTCTTTATCCTTATTATCCAGCTAGATTTTATATGTTGATTTGGATACGAAAGAAGAAAAAAAAAAGTTAGTAAGTAAGTAATATCCCGTAAAGTTAAATTTTAGTATTTTCAAAATCAATATATTTCGAAAACAATCGCGAAAATTTTAACCAGATTTTTTTTATGCGGGTTGTTACAGTAGATGTCCATGAGCTATGATCAAGATAATGGGAACTGCACCCAAGGTGAATCCAAATGGCCCCCGGAGAATGAAAAATGCTTCGTCGATATCATGTTAGATGAGGTTCTTGAAGGAAATTTCGTCGGCGGAAAATTCACTCCACAGCAGTGGGTGCAAATGACCGAGAAACTGAATGCCAATTGCCCGAGGAAATATATGTACAACACAAAGCAAGTTGAAAGTAAGTACATACGCCTAAAAAATACTTGGGCGAGGTTTTACAACTTGCGTAATAATGCAACGGGTTTTGGTTGGGATGAAGCGTGCGGTGCCATTACGGGCACTGAACAAGTTTGGGAAAAGTGGTGCGCTGTAAGTTCCATTTCAAGTTAAAAGTTCAATTTTTTTTATTTGTTCCATGACTGCTATTGTTGGTGTATGCTAGTACTTGTGCTTGAAAACAACTTGACCGCGTATTGATTATTTGTTACGTTAATGCGCACATGTCCTCTCTATATTTGTAGCTTATTTGTTGGTTTGGAATCCTTTGTTCAGTAGATGGTTCATATAGTTTCTGTTGTAAATATGTGCTTATTGTTTTGCTATAGTTCCATTTTCTTATGTCCCAAAAATATTTGTTCTGTATGAAGTTGTTGTTTGTTGGGCCATTGAAGGAAATGGGCTGAGAAGATTCATGAAGTTGTTGTTTGTTCTGTATGAGTAGGCAGACTACAATTTTTTGGTTTGGTATTTGTTCACAACACGTTTTTTCTTCACAAACTGAGATCATTTTACCATCTTTATTGTTTCTTCACAGGCTGAGATACATGAAGTTGCCCATGTATTGGTTTCTTTTTTAAAAAAAATTTACAGGCTGAGATCATTTTTTTGAATCAGTTTGGGTGGACATGTTTTTGTTCTTTGTTTTAGTTGATTCTCTATTGTTCTTATCTATTTTTTTGTGTAATTGTTTCATATTACTCATGAACTGTGTGTTTTCCCCTTTCTCCTTTCGTGACGCAGAGAAATCAAGATCATGATCTCAAGAGGAAGACGTGCGTACACTACGAAGAATTAACTACCATCTTTTCTGGTTCGACCGCAACTGGTCGCTATGCGCGTGCGTCAACTCAGCGAGGAGAAGTGCATGGAATCATGGGAGGGCATGAAGAATTGGGTCGGCGGAGTAGGCCATTGCATTCCGTTGGAGAGGACGAGGATATGTTGACACCGCAATCCTACAGAACAAGTGGAAGGAACAAACGGAAGCAAAGAATGGGCGAATCGGCATCTGTACTCCACTCTATGAAGGAGTCCGTGAGAGACATAAGTTACACGCTAGCATGTCTCAAGGAGGACCAACCAGATTAAAAGGAGCAAAAGGAGGCGCTTCTTCTACTTGATGCTATAGAGCTTCCCGAGTCTGTCTACAAGGTTGCTTTGAAGAAAATACCAGATGCGATGGCCCATCATATGTTTCTGAACATGGCGAATGACCGGAAACGACGCCTATTTGTGGAAGTTTGGGCTGAGGAGGGTGCTGGAAGTGGTTGACGACGAGATGACGATGATTATCGAGAAATTTGTGTGTGCTCGCTTTTTATATTTGCTTGGACTGCTTGTTTCCCTCATTAACTTCATTCGCTATTGTAGGGGTTGTGTATTTGAACATTTTTTGTGTGCTTGCTTTTTATATTTTGCTTGGACTGCTTGTTTCCTTCATTATTTGCTTTTTATATTTTATGTGCCTTTTATCATTATATATATTTCTATTCTCAATTAAAATGATTTGTAGGATGTCTTACGTAAACGACAATAATGGATATGACGACGTAGACGACATTATGGAGACGGAAGATGAATCCACCGGGCCTTTCGAACCAAACGATCAGATGGATGAAGATATTGTACAAGATATAGATGTGAAAAGGCGCCCCCCTAAAATTGCACGAGCAATTAAATTAGGCACTATTTTTGTGTCGCATTTAAAAAAAATAGTGCGACTTATGGAAAGATCTCCGTCCACATTCGAACGGCGCAAGAAAAAATCCTTCCGCGAATCAAGCATTACGGGAATGCAATGGGTAAACGAGCTTCTATAGGGGAACCCTAGAAGATTTTACCATGCTATGGGTGTCGATAAACAAGTTTTCCATCATCTATGTGAAGAAATGCAAAGGAGAGGCGTTCATGGCCATCATAAGCAATGAAAAGTTTGCATTGAAGAAAGTGTTGGTATTTTTTTGCACACAATAAAAGGACATCAACGACATAGGCATTCAGCTGAGACATTCAGACGATCTAGTGAAACTATTTCACGACATTGTCATATCATTATAACCGCCCTCGTTGATATGGGCCCGGACTACATCCTAGTCCCATACGTGAATCGGGTACCGGCTTGGATACACAATAATAACAATTTGTATCCGTATTTCAAGGTGACAATTTTTGTAGTCATATGATTTTAGTTCTTCCACTCTTCTTCACTAAGCTTTAACTCTCGTTACTAATAGGACTGCATCGGCGCAATTGACGGCACCATAATACCAGCATGGGTTCCACATGGTCACCAGGGGGCTTATAGATGCAGAAAAGGATATTTAGCGCAGAACGTCATGGTCGCTTGTGATTTCGACATGAAGTTCACCTTCGTGTTGGCAGGATGGGAAAGTAGCGCTAATGATGCCTGAATTTTCAAAGATACGTTGTCCAATCCGAGGTATCAATTCCCTTTTCCACCACCGGGTAAGCCCGCCTTCTCAAATTATCTCTTTTAATTAAATAAGTGTTTTTGAATTTACATTCACTATTTGTTGTGTACTTTTTAATGTAATGAAATTTTGGTAGGTAAATATTATGTTCTTGATTCTGGGTATTCAAACCATCCCAGTTTTTTGGTGTCATACCGCGGCGAGAGATATCATCTGCCTGAGTGGGTCGGGTCAAATAGGACCCCGATAAATTGCCGTGAACTATTTAATAAAAGGCATGTAGTTGTACGCAATGTTGTGGAACAGTCTTTTGGTCTCCTTAAAAATAGGTTTCCAATTTTAAAGAATTTAATGCCGAGGTACTCGCTTAAGTCGCAGACGGACATGGTTGTTGCTTGTTGTGTTTTACATAATTTTATACCGATGCATCAAGAAAAGAATACGACACCGGCGGCGTGGTTACAGCCCGATTTTATTCCCCAACATGATGCGGATGATATGACGTTCCCGTTTATGGATAGAATGGGTCCGTCGACAGCTGGCGAACAGGAGCAATGTACATTGCGTGATAGAATTGCAACAGCTCTCTGGGAAGATCATGTGAACCGAAATCGTCACTGATGTATTTTTTTCGTTTCGTCCTACCTATTTGATTTTACAGGTTGTTCTTCGTGTAACATCCGTGACATTTACTAGTACTCATCAACATTTCAGCAACCATCTTATATTTGTTATCGTATGTATATATCGTATTATATATTGTGTTTAATGCACAAAAAAAAACGCTATAAACTCATTTATATTATATATATATATATGTTTATAATTATATAAATGTTTTACATTATGTTAATATATCTTGAAATATAGATATATAAATATATATATATGAATAAAATATTGTTTATATATTTAAACACCCAAAACAAATACGCTATAAACTCATTTATATATTATTTATATATCTATACTCTTATTTATAAAAAGGAAGCTTGTGCCCTCTTTTTTCGACACGTGGCGCTGCAATTCTATGAGGCCACGTCGCTCATGTTCAAAACGACGCCGTTTTGGAGTGGACATTTCGGACCATTGATTTTAGGGTTAAATCCTGACCGTTCGTCTTATCTTTAAGTAATCTCCTCTCTTGCCTTCTCGCCCTCTCGCGGCTGAACTCTCTCTCTCTCTCTCTCTCTATGTTTCTCACTCCCTATTTTTCACGATACACATGTCTGTGTGACCTTGGATCGAGCAGTTTGATCAAAATGATTTTTGCTCTTCACGTTAATGGTTGGGTTTTGATTGGATTAGATCTTTTTACTTTTTCATCCTTTGTTGTCATCTTTGTTGCCGTAAGGAGATAATTCACAAGTTAGTTTCTTTTGAGTTTTTCAATTGACAAATCTTTGTATTTGAATATATATTAATGCCCATTTTTTATTATTTTTTTAACATCTTAAGATTATACCAGCGTAAGTGCCGCCGGACACAATGGCAAAGAATCGGAGGGATGTCGTACCCCGACGGGAATTGAGTTCGATGAGAATTAGCTGCGATGGGGATTCTTGACGACACAAATCCTCATGACCACCACCATCTCTGTCGCCGCTATGTTGTACGCTTCAATTCAATGATCTGCGAAAAAAATCAGGCTTACTATTTTTCTTCTATCTTCACTGCTTGATATGTCAGGTAATTGCTTAGCATTAACCTAATTGATTAGAGTTAGCATGTGTCTATGTTTATTTTGGAAAAAAAATTCCATAAAGTTTTGACATATTTTTTTTTTTTTTGTGATTTGCAATTGAATTTTGAAGGTGATAAATCAATAACTGTGAAGACGATATTAAAAATGGATACAATTCATGGTTGGTGCAACTATTCTGAAGACTTGTTGTGAGTTGCTTTTGATTTGTGGGTAAAAAAAATTGAAGATAAAAGAAGATGCAAGAAATTATATTTGTTGTCAGCGACTACGGGACAAGGTGTATATGAACTCTCGATTTAAGCAGCCGTTAGGTGCTTCACGTGTTGTAAGTATCCTTTTCAAATTATATTCATTAGGAATTGTTTTTTTATGTTGAGTGATTTTCTAATCTTTGTTAGCTTGGATGTTCTGAATGTGAGGTATATGTGTTTGTGCACGTGTGCCTCGGGTGATTCCTTCTGCGGAGGAGAGCTTCACAACCGGGGTCAGGCTGAGGCTTTCTTTTTGTGACATACAACCTGGGGATATGGCCGACGAAACGTGGTTGCCGGTCTTCACCACCACCGAGCCGAGACTCACAGCGGGTGCCGGAAAGAAAGACTCGCAGGGAGACTTCGTGTCTCTTCGTTTTCCGGGCTGATTTTGGCCATTGAAAGGGGGATTCAACTATTTCGCCCATTATCTTTATCCCAGCATTTGTTGTTATTTAATTTCCCTTTTATTCAGCTGCTATTGACTGAAAATCTCTTTGTGGTTGATTTACGCTCTAATCGGATGCGTAAAGGGAGCATTGGATTTAGCCCGGGGTTGTTCGAGAGTTGTCTGAGAGGCACATGTGACAGGAAGCACCTTGTACAGAACTTGACGGGCTGATGAGCCTGGAAGAGAGCTTCCGCTGGTAATCTTCATCTTTGCCTGGTATTTTAGCTACTGTAATTTTTTTAACACATACGAATTTGGAAATATAATTGTGAATTCACACTCACATATACACGCACTAATGTAATAACACATCGTTCATGCGCATTACATGAAAAGTAGCTAAAACTCAAAATTTTAACACCATTTCATTGCATCATAACTGATGATTAACAATTTTCATATTATGAATTTCTTATGCCATCTGTTGAATGTCATGCCTCAGAAAATAACTGTCGTGATTGGATGTCAGGTTCTTTGTCCATGTTTGAGCGTTGTTTATCAGATTACAGTGAACTGTCATTTTATTAGTTATTTATTTATAAATTTTACTTGCGCTAGGATGAAGTTGATGACATTAATTAGTCCTACTGGTTTTGGGATTATTTTTCATTGTTACTTTTTCATCTTTTTTTCTTCTTCTGGGTTTTAATGGTACGTCTTTTTTTTGTGTTATTATTATTTTCACATGTTTTATTATTTCTTCAGTGTGTGTTCTTTTTAATCTCTGTTTGGGGTAAAATAAAGAAAGAAAGAAAAGCTATAGATGTGTGAGGATGTGTGTGTTTAATGTTCACTGGTTGACGGACAAGTGTTCTGGCTATCTTTGTGGATGTGATTATTCAACTAATCTAAGGTAAGTCCTCCATGATATCATTATTTTACTGAAGAGAAAAAACATGAATGATCTCTTTATTTATCCAGACACCCTGTGTGCTGCCTAATTATATCGTACAGGATAATTGTAGTTATTTTGATTTGCAAATTCTGAGGCTAAAATTTTTCTCAACAGCTTTGTGTCGTCCCCACCAATGAGCCAGACCCTAACGGAAAATTGCTATGGTTGGAATGAACGAGTTGTCATCACAAATGTAAGTGGATGCTTTTAGATATTTGTTTACGTTTTCATTAGCGTCAGCTTCTGAGTCAATTAGGCCCGATGATCGGTCCCTTGGTAGATCTAAAGATACGACACTTGTGCTTGGTTAGTCAATATGTCATTCACATCCTTTTTTCATGCTACTTTTTCCATTGTGTTCGATAAAAAGTCACGTCCCTACTCAAAACCTTACGTTCCAAATTGTAGGCGCTGTTGCAACTGCTAATGGATCATAAATGGAGCGGTCTTGAAAAGCGCCAAGCAGTGCTGGTGAGAATCTAAATTCTCCGGTGTTGCTTTATTCTTCTAATGTTTGGTGCTTTCATTTTTTAATTCTTGGGTGTTGCTTTATTTGTTCACCACCCCTGCTCCTCGCGCTCACGCCTGCTGGCTTCCTCGGGATCGGAACGCCCGGCTTGCGTAGCTCCGCTGTATGAGAGCGGGCATCGAGTCATCTTGGAGGCGTGGTGCACAATTGAGTCGTCTTCTTTTTATTGTTGATATTTTTCTACATAATAGACGTACATCCACATGTCTTGGGTGAGTAGAATAAGATTATTAAAATATTCCTTTGTGTATGCACCTATTACCTCTGGAAGCAGTCCGGAGACTTTCCATTTTCCCGCGATTGATAACTTCATTGTTCTATATTGTGTTCAATGACCACTTTGCTATTGTTAGAATCAGAGAAAACATGTTTGATGAAACTTTTTATGTGGTCGCATGTAAACTGTTGACGTGCAGAAGATAATTTTCTGGTGATTGGAATTCGAGACTTGAGAGCGTAAAATGCTAAAAAAAAAATCGAAGAGATTTGTAGAGGAAATAATTACGACAGATTGAGATTTGGAGGCTACAAACATTGGGCGAAATGGAAATTGGAAAAATTAACTGGAAATAAGAATAGCAGAGTAAGATTTTGATGGGAAGAAAAATTGGGTGGAAATTTTGTCTGTACAGGAATTGAACGCGCATGCCGCAGGTTGGAGAAATAACGTTCACAAAAAGATGTCGTTTTGGTGAGGGTGACGTCGCTTCATAACAGGAGGCGGGTCACGTGTTATCTCTTTTAAAAACTAAGACCTCACTTCAGGTTTGGGATTTGATGTTATATTTATGTTATTCGTTATCTAAAGACTGTAACTGGGACCGATGGTGGAGACAAGAAACATGGGCGGCGTAAGCATCTGGTATGAGCGTTTTTTGTAGTTGGCAAAATTAGTAATTATCAATATTTAAGCACATATTTTCAGACAAGTTATATATAAGCAGTAGTTCACCGTTTAGATAGTCTTGCACTTTATTAATTTTTTTTTCTTCTTATTGTGTTTAGATAAGCCTCTGGAGAAGGAGGGAATCCATTGGACGAAGGAAGGAAACGGATGGATAATATCCATTCGGGTAGATGAAAACTTGATCTAAGTAGTATGAGTTTCTCTAGCAAATGAACTTATTAAAACCCAAGTAGTTTTTGATTTTATGCTACTATATTAAAGTTGTTACAGTAGTTAAAAACCAAAATAAAACTAAAATGTTTATAAGAGTTATTACCCCATTCTTGACCTTTTCTAGATTACTTTGATATAGGAGTTTGATGTACTGATAGTTTTAGATGCTAATTTATGTGGTAACTTTTGTGACATTTTATTTATGGTTTCAATGTATTATTTTTTATATTATTTCTCAATTACAAAATAATATTCTAGCTTGAAAAAAAAAAATAACGTGGGCCGGCCGTGCTGGCACGACGAGAGCCATCTAGTATGTTTATAATTATATATATGTTTTACATTATGTTAATATATCTTTAAATATAAATATATATATATATATCTATGAATAAAATATTGTTTATATATATGAATTGAAATAGTTTATATTATATTATACATATATGTTTATATATATATATGTATTATATTATATTATATTTATATATGTTTACATGTATTATATATATGAATAGAAAATCTTCATACACACTTATAAAAAAAAAATCATGTGTCCACTATATTTTCAATTTTAGTAGTAATGAATAATGACTTTGAACCCTAACATGTGCAGTACACACTAAATTAAGTATATAAACATGTATTAATAATTACATAAGGTTCAAAATGTGCAGTACACACTGAATTAAGTATATAAACATGTATTTATAATTACATATTATATATTATTTTGTAAGAGATAAATCCCAAGTTGCAGATTATATTATATTCAATATATGAATACATCTCGGCAACTATTTTATATATTATATATATATAAGTATTATATTGTATTATAATTATACAGGTTTATATATATATATATGAGATGGATCCAATGAGTCCACTTCTTAAAATGTGAACATGAGACTCAATCTTAGCCACTCATTTTGTCTAGATCTTTATGTTAATCAATTAAATATACAGGGTTTAATGCACCAAATCCCTCTGTATTATACTAAATCTGTGCGTTTTCCCCCTGTATTTTAAAAATTGCGTCAAACCCCCTTTGTAATGTAGTTTTGCAAGATGACGGAAGCCCTTTGTAATGTAGTTTTGCAAGATGACGGAAGTGGTGTGCGCGCGCGTGCTGTGCGGTTTTTTCTTTATTTCTTCACCCCAAAGTGGCTAAAATTACTGTTTTACTCTTGAATTATGTGCAAAACCTAAATGGTATGAAATGTGGGCAACAGGATTCGAACCTGGGTTGAAAGGAACGGAATGGCCACTCAACCACTGGACCATATGGAAGGATGTGTAATCTATTGAACATAAATATATCTATACATCATACTGAAATGAATTAAATAGTTTAAAAATAAGTAAATAAATAAAATAAAAGGATAATATGTCAATTTACTATAAATTAAAAAATTAATAATAATAATACTAATAACTTCCAATAAATTAAATTAACTTAAAATAATAAAAAAAATTAAATTAAAATAAAGTAAGATAAAATTTAATGTATTAGCGTGAACTAAAATTAAATAAAATAATATAAAATATTATTTATCAAATAATTTTAATATGATTTACTCTTACATACAACATGAATGAAAAAAAAATTGAAATAAATTATAATTTTTTAGTAAATAATTTTAATTGTAAATAAATAATTTTAATTTCTAAATTTTATTTAGCAAAATTTATTTTAATTTTATTTCATTGTGTTAAGTAAAAAAATAAATAAAGCTTGTTAACTAAGATAAAATAAAATGAATAATGCAACAAAATAATATGGACGGAATAATATAAATTAAAATAAATAATAAAATATAAAAATAATATAAAATACATACAATAAATATTATTACAAATATAATTGTAATTTTTTTTAATTATTTTGTGTTTGTCTAATATAGTAAGTCATTTTAATTATTTTTTTTTATTCAATTTTATATGGTTTAATTGATTATAAGTTTATATCTTAATAATTTAATTTAATATTTTAATTTCTTATAAGTTTATATATTAATAATGTTATTTAATATAATTTACATTATCTTCTAAATTTAATTTCATTTATCTATATGTAATACGATATATATTAATATTTACTATATCTAACACTCAACATTTAGTGGTGTGGTGGTTGCACCTCTTGTCTTGCCTCTTTCGAACCTTGGAGCCAATAAATTTTTTTATTTAATTTCTCGCGATATATTGAATATATCGCGATAAATTTAATTTATCATAAATATATATATATATATATATAAAATATTCAGAGGGTATAACGGGGCTTTTGAAAAAAAAAAACTAACGCCTGACCGTTGACTCCGGCAATGACCGTTGAGTCCGACGTTGACCGTTGACTTCCGGCGTTGACTCCGGGCAAAAATCGTTGACTTCCGGCGTTGACTGTTGACTTCCGACATTGACTCCGGCGTTGACCCGTTGACCATAATATGTATTGTGTATGAAGTAAATATGGTGAGGCAAAGTTAGTGTAAATATGTTGTAAAGTTATTGTAAATATGTTGCAGGGTTAGTTGTTTTTATTTGCAATGTTTAGTTGTATTCAGTTGCAAGGTTAGTTGTCTTTAGTTGCAAGGTTAGTTATGTCTAGTTGCAAGGTTAGTTCTGTCTAGTTGCAATGCTAGTTTTCTCCAGTTGCAAGGTTAGTTGTCTGTAGTTGCAAAGTTAGTTCTATCTTGTTGCAGGTTTAGTTGTTTTTATTTGCAATGTTTAGTTGTATTCAATTTTCAATGTTAGTTGTCTGTAGTTGCAAGGTTAGTTGTCTTTAGTTGCAAGGTTAGTTGTCTTTGGTTGCAAGGTTAGTTGTCTTTAGTTGCAAAGTTAGTTATCTTTAGTTGCAAAGTTAATTCTGTCTAGTTGCAATGTTAGTTTTCTCTAGTTGCAAGGTTAGTTGTCTGTAGTTGCAAAGTTAGTTGTCTGTAGTTGTAAAATTAGTTCTATCTTGTTGCAGGGTTGGTTGTTTTTATTTGCAATGTTTAGTTGTATTCAGTTTATAAGGTTAGTTGTCTGTAGTTGCAAGGTTAGTTGTCTTTAGTTGCAAGGTTAGTTGTCTTTGGTTGCAAGGTTAGTTGTGTTTTATTATTCTTTCATACATGATGCATAGTAAGGTCAACGGGTCAACGCCAGAAGTTAACGGTCAACGCCGGAAGTCAACGATTCTCGCCGGAAGTCAACACCGGAAGTCAACAGTCAACGCTGAGTCAACGGTCAATGGTCATTATAATATTTAAATACTTAAAAATAAAAAATTAAATAATAAAAGTAAAGAATTATTATTTAAATCAAGATCTAAATCTTGTGGCTAGGAATGAGTCTCACGTCCTCACTTTAAATAAGCGGATGCATTGGAACCAATCCCTATATATATATATATACATATATATATATATCAATAGAATACCCTCATACTTGGTAGTATGTACAATGAATGCACAGTACATATTATTGAACCGAAAGATTAATATATGTATCTCGTGCATCACACGGACGCTATAGTTTAACCAACACAAACTAATTTCAACCGACTATAATTATGAGAAGGGACCCATGGGTTACAATTATTTTGCTCACCCACACCTTCATATTTTTTTTGTTCCGGTTTTAAATAGACTTCATGAGTCCTACCCAACACACACCTTCCAAGCAAACATGTTAACCTTTCCCTTTCCCACTAATAAGAGTGAAAAATTTTAATTTGTGCGAGAAGGATTTGTCCATAAATGAAATTCATCTGCGGAGGAATTATTTTGTGTAATAATCAAAAGATTCGTTCAGACAGAGGGCATGACAAAAGAATCTGACATTCTGCACGCCTTTGAAATTATGCACCAAGCGTGTTTGACAGTAATTGATCCGAATCTCACCTTGAAATAGTGTGTTGTCACGTTCATGGTGCTAAAAGAAAGGTACCGTACGTTTAAATATTTGATGGACACACCGAACGCGGTTTTTTTGACGTCAACGATAAATACGTACATCTTGACGGGTATCAACGGGAGATTGCAATCGAGGTAACCAAAATTCACCTATAAGTAGCGTCTAGTTTATTTGTCACAAAACAATATCATAAAACTCAATCATGCACGTACTTTCCCATGCTTCACGTTGTTTCTCCTTTACTTTTATATGGTTCAGCACTGGCCACTAGCAGAGCATTACTTTAACAATCAAGAGCTTATGTTGAATACCCTTATAAGGACATTTTCCGATTTAAGCCTGAACAACTACCCAGATGAAGAGTTTTGGAAAAGGCACCCAGGTTTTCCGACGTTGGATCAATTGGTGGCCAACTATTAGGCCGAAGAGGCGCGCCAGGCGGCGCGTAGAAGGATGCGTAAAAAAATAAAAACCATTTTGGCTGCATTGTTCGATTAACAGTGTCAATGTATTTTCAATTTCTCTATTATGTAATGTTGCGAAGTGTTTGTACCTGATTTGCCTAAATTAATCAACATTTCTTTAAACTTCCTCTTCTACGGTAAATTATTTTTATAATTCTTCAATACCGTAATGGCATGTCGATTAGTCAATGAAAGATGTTACGTGCGGTTTAAATAAAATTGTCCCAAATCTAACTACTTAAAATATATGGAAAAATCACAAGAAATAAAATTATGGAACCATTTTAAATTTAAATAACCATCTCATGAACATCAATTTCAATGATTTTATCTTGACAAAATGAAATAACATCTTCAAATTTCAAAAATAACTACGAACAACAACTTCAATTTGTTTCTAATAAATGTTGGTTTTCTCTATTTTAAAAAAAAANTTTTTAAAAAAAAAAAAAAACATGATTGCAGAAGCAAATAATTAGACAAAAGGTCCACCAATATGTCTTTTTTTTTTTCTTAATTCCACCAGTTTTACCTTTCTATCTTCTTAATAAATATGACCTTCTGCAAAATAATTGTACAACGATGTTTTCTTTCATTTTTTTTACATAAGTATCACTACATTATTTTTATGAATAATTATATGGATTACTGTGAATTGTATCATCCAAAATAACTCCATTGGTGCAACCTGTATTACAAACCAAAATTTACTTATATTACATGCTACCAGTTGTAATAAAGAAAGCAAAAGCTGTAGTAATAAAGAGGACTTTGTATTACATGCTACGAGTTGTATTATTATTATTATATTACATACTCCATTTGTGAATAAAAAAGGACTTGCAGAATGGCACTTTCCATATTGAGATTTGAGAATCACATGCTACCAGTTGTAATAAAGAAAGCAAAAGCTGTAAGAAGATGTGAAAATTCAGGACTGAGGCACGTCCATATCGCGCCCATGCTGCAGAAGATCTGAAAGTGCCCATAATTTGTCATCACGCCCATGCTGGAAAATTCAGGCCCGTCCATATCGCGCCCATGCTGTAAGCCTGCGTTTTTTAATTATTTTTTTCTCCTTTTTTTTGGGAAGAGGAATACAACAGTCCCATCCTCATTTTTTACCATTCAAATTGAAAGCATGGGATGCAGGCGAGATTCCCGGCTTTTGCATGCTCAATTGAAAAAAAATAGAATATGGAGAACACGCGGGAAGCCTCACACTATAAAATGGGAGTTTTTTGCAGGAGTTTTTACTTGCACCAAACATCAAACCAGTCAAAAATAAAAAAAAAAATAGTCCAAAAAATAAAAGTTTTAATATGGAAGCTCCTTTGTGCTATTGTGGGCAGGGTCGTATGATCCTTTTAATGGAAAAAACTGAAAAAAACTACGGAAAGTATTTTTTCCGATGTCCAGCTCGTCAACACCACCATCGGTGTTTCATTTGGGTGGACGATGTTCATCGTCAATATTCTTCACAACCAAGTCATAGTACATTCCGGAGTGGTCACGGTAATTCTTCACAAACAACTGCAGACAGCGTACATGCAACATAATACTCTGAAACTGCTGGCACATGGAGGCAAACAATGACGAACAACTCGGCGAATGCTGATTCAACTTGTTTACTTTTATTTTTTTTTTCTTGGACTTTTCTGTTGTGTAGCCATTGTCAAAATTCTCGGCCTTTAATGCAAGAATTGATTTCATGTTTTGTTCGGCTCTTTGTTTTTTTTTTTAATATAAAACATAATAGTATTATGGTAATATATCTGACCATGCTCGGGCTGTGCATTTTCGTTTTTTCGGTTTTTAACCCAAAAAGGTCCACTACATGAAATTATGAAGCAGGGGCCCGTTGCAAAATTATTTTGATATTATTATGTTGAAAAGGAATTAATGGACACAAATGTCAACCCAAAAATAATGGTAATCTACCCCCATAATGGTGGGCCCCACATTATTATGGCGAAAGATTTTTTTGAGTACATTGTCGGATATGAACAGTACATAATCGAATTTAAATCAGGCAAAATCGGAACTAATTTCTATCCAAGCACACTCTATAATAATGATTAATGATTTTTCTTGCACTTTTTTGCAGGCCAAATTTACAATTAAAGGAGCTAGAATATTTATTTTTATAAATTGCATTTATCATATTGGATGTAATGTATATTTTGATATGTATTTTTTTTGTGAATTATTTATTATTTATTTAGGAATTTCAAATATGTTTTTTATTTTCTAAAAGAAGTTAATTTAAATGTAACCACAACAATGACATCTAATCACGTTAAATAGTCAACACATTATATGGTCAGCTGTAAATAAATCAAATGTTTAAAATAATTTTTGTAATTTTGAAGTGATTAGTGTGTTGATTATCTAATAACTAAATGAGAGCCTAAATAAATAAAAAGTAATGGTTTTTGGAGGCAAAAAGTTATATTGCCACATAGGTATAATTTTATTGGTTTTATTAAATGCTGATAAGCCAACAAT